TCCCGGTTAATCATATTAAAGCTTTCTACTCCGATATGACTTTCAAGCGTAGAAATCATCAATATGTGATTATTTCTAAGTTTTGTGGTAAAGAGGTTACTATTTCTAGTGGTGAATTGAATGAGATGTTTGGCATGGAGAATAGTAACAAGGAGCTCACTACCCAAAATAATGATCAAAACCCTTGGTATAATTTTGATGAGGAAAAATGTTGGGAAGTGATGAATTTTAAACCCTCTTTCAATGATTCTGGACGACCCAAAGTGAGTGGTATGCAACCTCCCCAACGATTAATTCAGTACATTGCTTCTTACATTCTACGTGGTCGCTCAGGGAATCATCCTCAAATGAGTAGGGATGATGCAATGCTTATCTACGCCATCTTGAAGCCGGTGTCCGTGAATTGGGGGAAATACATCTTGAGCTACATGAATTTATGCCGAGCCAAGAAGAAAGCTTTACCGTATCCAATGCTTCTCACTTTTCTTTTGAAGAAAAAGGGGTTTGATTTTCTTAGTACCGAGTTAGAGTATGAGACACCATTTTGGAGAATCAAGAGGGCGACGGTGATGAGAGTCAAGAATGATACTGAGGACGGAGAACGTGAGGAAGCAGGCCCTTCTCATTCTCGTGCGGCTTCACGGGGTAAAAAGGTCACCTTGCCTATGCTATTTGAGTCATTGCAAAGCCTCCAATCTTCCTTCGACCACATTCAACTCCAATAGGCCACATATGGTTATAACTTGAACAAGATGTTGGTTAAGAGTGGCGAGCAATGGGAAACACCGTCCATGGAAGCTCTAGCGCCTTACATGCCTCGGAGTTCTTCTTCTCATGCCGCTCCTTCTGATGATGATGGTGATGAAGACGATTAGGATGATGAAGAGGAGGATGCTGTTGAACAAGACGATGCGACCATGGATGAGGAATGAGTGGATTGGGCAATCATTTTCTATCTTTGACTATCCTTTACTTAGGCCTTATTTCTCTCTATTGACTCTATTTTTTGCATAACCCCTTGTGTTTTTTATTATGACTTTGACATTTTCTGTGATTTTACCTTCCCTTTTTGCTTATGACAAAAGGGGGAAGTGTGGGTAATGCTTGTGCTTGGTCAAGTGCACACAAACAGGGGGAAGTTGCTTTCTTGAACTTTTTCTAATGATTAATTAGTTGCATTTTTGCTTGTGTCTTGTGTGTGTGTTTAATTTGTTGAGAGACAGGAATCCTAGTGATTTGAGTCCAAGCACTTATTGTTAAGTTGGGTTTGTCATTATCAAAAAGGGGGAAATTGTTGACCCTTGTGTTTTGATAATGACAACCATGCATATGGGATGAGCTTTGGATCTGGATCTTTTCATGTGGATTGCCTAGCACGCACGTTGCTTAGAGATTCAAGACAAGATTTGAAGATTAAAGGTTTTCTAGATTTTTATTTCTTTTGAGTCTTAGTTCATGTTAAAGTGTTTGGCACATCTTTATTCTTCAAATACTTTGTTTTTCCTACAAGAATGCCTCTTTGATTGTTTTCAAAACCCTTTCTCAAAACCTTTCTTCAAAAATGTTTCTTCCCAGTTTTTTATTCGAATAAATTGAGATTTATTCGAATAAGAGGGACTTCTGCAGATTGCAGTTCAGTCTGTTTTAATCGAACAAATGCTTGTTTTATTTGAATAAGGGCTGATTCCAGTTCTTCCAAAGTTTTGAAAATTATTCGAATAAATAGCTATTTATTCGAACAAGTAGGCTCCCAGTTTTGCAGTTCGTTCTGTTTTATTCAAATAAATCAAGTAGGCTCCCAGTTTTGCAGTTCGTTCTGTTTTTCCTACAAGTAGGCAGATTGCAGTTCAGTCTGTTTTAATCGAACAAATGCTTGTTTTATTTGAATAAGGGCTGATTCCAGTTCTTCCAAAGTTTTGAAATTTTTTCGAATAAATAGCTATTTATTCGAACAAGTAGGCTCCCAGTTTTGCAGTTCGTTCTGTTTTATTCAAATAAATCCAGTAATTATTAGAATAAGCCCTGTGTTTTCAAAAATCCTGTTTTACTCAAACTATTCGAATAAATTGTGTTTTATTCGAATAAATCGGCAATTTTCACTGATTAACGTACACTTTTTGAATCTTTCTGGAGGTTACATTATCCCTATCCTTATTTAATACAACTTGTTTCGTTTTTCAATGAATAAGAACACCTAAGAATACTTTCAATTACATTCCTTTGATTATACAAAGAGATTCATTCAAGTCTTCATCTTCCCACTCAATATTCAAGTTCTTCATTTGAGAAATCTTTCTTCACTTTGAGTTGGAAAGTTTTTGTGTGCCATACACTATACGGTGATTGTAATCTAGAGCAAATCCGCTCTTGTTTGAGGAGTATTATCCGCTGTGCAAATTGTTTGTAAGTTGTATTGTTGTAAAAAGCTTGAATTTGAAATAATTCAAGTTTTGGATTGAAATCCAAAGTCTTGTGAAATCAAGACTTCGGTGGAAAGATTAGAGGCTTGTGAAATCAAGTTCTCGAGTTGTATTCGGATTGTTAAACTCCGTTAAGTTTAACAAGGATTAGTGGAATCTCGTGCACGTTTGCCTTGGGGACTGGACGTAGGCATTAGGCCGAACCAGGATATATCGTTGTCTCTTTGCATTCATCATTTCCGTTATCCTTTTATTTTATTCCTGCACTTTTCTACTTAAAGCCAAAAATTTTATTATTTTCTTGAACACCTCTATTCACCCCCCCCCCCCCTCTAGAGGTGTGAAAGACGTCTAACAGTTAGGACTTTCGGGCTAACTAATGCTCCATTATTTCAAGCTCTTATGAACTCTGTGTTCAGATCTATGTTAAGGAAATTTGTGTTGGTATTTTTTGATGATATCCTGATTTACAGCAAAAGTTTAGAAGAGCATGTGGAACATGTTAAGGCAGTCTTCAAAATAATGAGGGACTCACAACTTTATGCTAAAAAGTCTAAATGTGCATTTGGAGTGCAGAAGGTAGAATATTTGGGACATTATATCAGTTCTGAAGAAGTATCTACTGATCCCAAGAAGTTACAGGCAGTCCAACAATGACCCACTCCTACTAATATAAAACAAATTAGAGGATTTTTGGGTCTAGCTAGATACTACAGGAGATTCATTAAGGGTTTTGGTAATATATGCAAACCCCTTCATGAGTTGTTGGAGAAAGATGCATTTCATTAGGGAGAGACAGCTTATACTGCTTTCAGCCAACTTAAGAAGGCTTTGATATCTCCTCCAGTACTAGCCATTCCAGATTTCACTAAACCATTTGTAATTGAGACAGATGCTAGTGGCAATGGAATGGGTGCAGTGCTAATGCAAGAAGGACATCACATTGCTTATATCAGCCGGTCATTAGCACCCAAACATCAATCCATGTCTGTATATGATAGGGAGCTAATGGCTTTGATCTTTGCTATAACTAAATGGTCTCATTATTTGTTGGGAAAACAATTCATTGTCAGGACAGATCAATAAGCATTGAAGTATTTGTTGGAACAGTACAAGTTGCAGGGATTACTAAGCTAATGGCTTGTGACTTTGTTATTGAATACAAAAAAGGAATTGACAACAAAGCAGCTGATGCCCTTTCCAAAAACGTCAATGCAAAACTCTTAGCTGTATCTATTCTTACACATGACATATCTCTACTCTCCCTGATTAAGGACTTTTGGAGGAATGATAATGCTCTGTAGGAAATCATCACCAACTTACAGTAGCAACCCCACAAGTCCTTCACTTAGATTAATGAACAGCTGAGATGGAAGGGCAGATTGGTGGTGGGTAATGATTCACAACCAAGGAAGACTATCATATCTACATGGCATAATACTACATGGGGGGTCATCAGGTACGGATGCAACTATCAAAAAGTTGCAAGCCTTATTCTACTGGAAATCTCTCGTTGAAGATGTTAGAACTTATATCAATAAATGTGATGTGTGCCAGAGACATAAATATGAAGCTACTGCAACCCCTGAATTGCTACAACCCTCACCTATTCCTGGAAGAGTTTGGACTGACATTTGCATGGACTTCATTGAAGGTCTACCTAACGTCCAAGGTAAGGAGGTTATTTTGGTAGTAGTTGATAAACTCAGTAAGTATGGAAACTTTATTAGCCTGCAACACCCCTACACTGCGTAGGTAGTAGCACAAAGGTTCTTGGATAACATCCTCAAACTACATGGTCTGCCAACAACAATAACAAGTGACAGGGACCCTATATTTCTCACTGACTTTTGGCAAGAATTATTCTCACAAATGGGAGTTCAGCTTCAAAGATCCACTGCATATCATCCACATACTAATAGACAAACTGAAGTCTTGAATAGGACTCTGGAAACATATCTTAGATGTTTTTGTTCTGATAGCCCTTTTACTTGGGTAGCATACTTACCCTTGGCAGAATGGTGGTACAATACAACTTATCATACCACCATCTGATGTACACCTTATGAGGTTTTTTATGGACAAAAACCCCCTATTCACCTTCCTTACTTATCAGGGGAATCAAATTATGAAATGGTAGACATGTCTCTTCAAGCTAGGGAAGCTACCATCCAACTGCTTAGTTACCACATTCAGAGGGCACAGAAAAGGATGAAAGATCTGGCTGATAAACATAGAACAGAGGACTTTGAAGTAAGAGATTGGGTTTATCTTAAACTCCAACCCTACAGACAGTTCTCAGTGGCTACAAGACACTTCAATAAACTGGCAGCTAAGTACTATGGTCCGTACTTAATTGATGCCAAGGTGGGTGCAGTGGCGTACAAATTACTAATCCTTGCCCAGGCTGTTATACACCACACCTTCCACGTTTCACAACTGAAGAAGTGTCATGAAGTCCCTCCATTCATCAATCATCCTCCTACCCTTCATTTGTCCAGTCCAAATTGCCATGAGCCTCTTCAAATTCTGGAGCGAAGGTTGGTTAAGAAACGTAACAAAGCTGTGGTACAAGTAAGAGTTGAATGGATGGGACTTGGTGCTGATCACACTACTTGGGAGTACTTAACAGAGCTCTAACATCGTTTCCCATCTTTTAAGACATGAGGACAAGTCTGTGCTAAGGGAGGGGTATTGATACAAGAAGAGGCATACAGATGCTGAGCTGGGTAGTTACGGATGAGCTGGATATCTTAACTAATTCTATTTCATTTCTTCTTGTGTTTTGTATATAAACACCTGCATCTTGTAATTGCTGGATATGAATGAATAAACACAAGTCTTCTTCTTCCTCTTTTCATTTCTCTTGTTAATTATTCTCTCGGATTGATACCTGGAATATCAATCGATTCTTCGAAGTCTGTTCTTCCTAGAATCTGTGTTCTTTGTGCATCAAAACCCTTGTGTTATGCTGGACAATTTTGAGAAATTACTTAATTAGCTAAGTATAATTATATCTAGCTTTCTTTACTATTACGGAGTATTATTTGTTGATATAATTATATTTTTGTAGGAAGCATTAAAATTAGAAGTGCCAAATGAAGAAAGCGGTGATGAAGATTGTGAGGACGAACATGACCCTTCTGATCATATTCACGAGTTAAACATTATTCTCGAGTTTAATTATTTTAGCTAATCTAAATGTTTATTTTCAACATTACTTGATTTTGGTTGATAATTTGTACTCCCTCCGTCTCTAAATAATTCACACACTTCAGTATTCAAAAACCGCAAGAACTTTTGTTTAGTAGTATTTTTTTTATGTATTTTTTAAATATGCAAGTTTTATTTTTTTATTTATATTTCAATCTTTAAATAAAATGAATTGAAAAAATTAAGATTTTACTTTGTTTTGCGTAAAGTATAAATCATTTAGGGACTGAGTGATAAACTCTTTTTTTTCAATGCAAAGTGAGTTTCAATTGGAAAGTCTTTATATTTTTTTACGTTTCTTAATATACTGGAAATAAAATTTTAGAGCGCATGATGTATACAATTAAAAACTACATAAATGAAATTAAAAGTACTTACGGAGTAATAAAACAATTAAAAACTAAGCGTCTAAGCGCACAAATGAAGAAAAAAATAAACTAAAATATAACAACAACAACAAGAACAACAACAACAACAACAACTCACTAAAATCCCAAGGTCTGGGAAGGGTGTGTGTGCGCAAACTTTACCCCACTAAAAGTAGAGAGACTGTTTCCAAAAAACTTCCAGCTCAAGCAGCACAAAAATCAAGTAGCACGACAAGAGGATAGAGTACACAAAGGCATAAACTAAAATACTAAAAACAAATAAAAACTAAAATTCAATATTAAAAAAATAAAAACTAAGACATCTTTACCCGTCACCTCACTTTCCCCCTTCTCTCTTTTTGTTTTCATTTCACGTTACTTTTCTTCTTTACTTTCCTCACATCGCTTTAATAATCTCTCTTATTCTTCTTTTTTACCCCGGAGTAAATGATAGATCCTGCATGTCATTTTTTTATCTACATAATTTTTTTTATAATAAACCAAGATAATTTATTCATTAATAATTAATCTAAAATTATATTTTAAGTTTTAATATAAATTTATGTTCTACAAATTTTTCTTTACATTTTAATTATAATTTGAAATCGACATAGAACTTATTATACTCCTAAAAAAATACTAAAACACACAACACAACACCCAAACAATTTTTTAAAATTTAAAATTTGCAATTTTCTTGAGTTGGTGCAGTAAAAAAAGTAAAAAAGTAAAAGAGTGGTTTTTTGTTAATTAAAAACTAACAAATTGAATACAAAAAGTATGCCCAAAAAAATGATACTCAAGGGAAAAAAATAAATTTCTACCATTATAAAAAATCCAAATTTCTATTTTTTGTCTTGTTTTTCTCTTTTTCTACTTCTATTTTTTTCTTTCTTTTTTCTTCTCTTTCTTTCTTCTCCTTTTTTCTTTATTCTTTAATTCTTTCCCTCTCTTTCTCTCTCCCATTTACTCTTGTTTTCCCCCTCTCCTACTCTCTCTTTTTTTCCTCACCTTACTTTAAGAGCATCACTAATATGGGGAGCAAATGCTAATTTGGCAAGGAGAAATGGCTAGAAGCAAAGGAGGCAATTGGGGATAGCTCATGTTGCAAGGAATAAAAATCATCTAGAGAGAAGATGGTTTATTGGAGTATTTGGACCAAATAAGAAAAATAATTTTCTTTTTGATTTCGGCAAATTGTTGTTTTAAATTTGTTTTAGTAAAATTTACAGTGAATAAGACTAAAATATAAGTCATTTCTCAATGTAAGACTTAAGTGTTTAGTGAGAAGAATAATGTCCAAGTGATGCTGGATATTTAGTTGAATAATGATTAATAGATAATGACCAATGATCCTACATTGGGAAATAAAAGCATATTGTCATATATTGAGAAAGTCATTATGTTTTAGTCCTATTTACATAAATTACCCATAGATCTTTTGACATAGCTTCGAAATGTGTAATTTTTATTATATTAATTTTAAGATTAATTAAAAATAAATTTAGGACTCATTTTCATGGAAGAAAGATCAAAGTATGACTAAAACATTGAAAATATACCAAAATAGAACTTTCATGTTTTTATTCTCGAAATAGGACTCACATTAACATACATGGTCATATACATTACCAAAAAAGTATATTAATTTGCACATGTGCATTGCCACATTACAATAGGGCAAAGTCACATTACCACAGTGCAAAGTCCTATTTTGGAAAAAAACATGAAAGTCCTATTTTGGTACTTTTCTATATGTTTTAGTCTTATTTAGGGTGATTTATACATTTTAATTCTCATCTACTAGTACTTCATTTCAAACTTCCTATCAATCAAATATTACTTCGAAGTTTTTTTATTTTGAATAAAATAATACTCCCTCCGTCCCTGAAAATTTTTCTCTTTTCTTTTTTCATCCGTCCCAAAAAATATTTCTCATTTCTATTAAAAAGTCACTATTACCATTTACTTTTTCATACCCTACATATCACATTATCTCTTTTTACTAATAATCTATCCATCAAATCATACTTTTACCCATCACATCAAAGGACATTTTTGAATTTAATACCAAAACACACTCCCCTTAAATCCCCCTTCAAAATCAAAACTTCCATGTTTTCCGGGACGGAGGGAGTAGTTTAGTACTAAAAGTCTAAAACAAGATGAAATTAAATACTATAGAGCTTTTTACATAAAGTTGAGCAAAACTTAAATTTTGAAACTTAACAATTTTAACTAACGAAATGTTTTAAAGTAAATTATTACGGAGTAAAATTTAAAAAATGTAACAAAACATTTTTTTTGGATCAAACATTCAAAAATATGTTTTGAAATAAAAAATATGGAGTATGATTTTTCTTTTGCCATGAAATTAAAAAAATATATTGATAAAATAAACATTTTGATAAAAACACAAAGGCCCACATGTAAAACTAAAAAAGGTAATAGTAAAAACTACCCCTAAAATCTACTCTCTAAATTACTGAACGCAATCGCCTTCACCGACTCCGGTCTTAAAAAACTACCAACACTGATCGGTCTCCCATCTCCGGGTCGGGTAAGACGGGCCCCATATGCGCTGAACCAATCCCAGCTCCGCCGGCCCATGCTCATCCTCCGGTCGCATAAAGCGCGCGCGCCGGGATTCGAGAGCGTAGCATACGCGTTCTGTATCTCTACGAAAAGCCGCCCGTCCGACGGCGGTCCGTCGAGGCGAGCGGAGGCGTCGGGGTGATAGATCTTCGCCAACTTCCGGTAAGCCGTCTTGATCTCTCCCTGAGAGGCGTTCCGCTTCACTCCCAGCACCTCGTACGGACTCCGGGAACTTGTAATCTCCACCGACGGCGGCGGCGGCGAGGCGATTGCGTCCGAAATTACGGACGGCATCCGTCGCTGCGCTCCGGGGAACGGCATCACCCGTTCTGATCTGGTCCCGAATTCGACCCTGGGGAAAACGGATTCTGAGAGGCTTAGCATTCGGAGAATTTAGGAATTGAACGATGAGAAGATAGGGATATTAAGGAGTTGATCGAATTGAAATACTGCAACGAAATGTGGGAATGAAGCCAAACTGGGCTTTTCTAGGGGCGCCGGAGCTTTACCAGGGAGGGGTTCAGCTGTTGGATATATAAATTCAAGCTGCTTTGCATAAAAGATGTACGGAGTAAGAATTACTCAACTTTAGTAAGAATTACTCAACTTGTCAAAATTGGTACACTTTAATTTCAAATTAAATAAAAATGATATTGGATATCATTACAAAAATAGTTTTATTAGATTTATTATATAAAATATTTTCAAAATATTATTTTATCTAATTAATATAGAATATATACTTTATTTAATTGTAGGTCACAATTTTTGTAATACTGTATTATTTTGAAAAAACAATTACTACCAGATTATCGAAAAATAAAAAAAATGAATTTGCCTATAAAATAATTTTACCTTTCACTTGTTTAAGAAAAACAAACATTTTTAAAAAATTATGTTAAGTAACCGTTAGCATCCTAACGGCGATTCAAAACTCGCACACGTGATAAAAGGTGAGATTATTTTCTGTAACCATGAAAAGTAAAATTATTTCTGAATAACGCGAAACAGTTGGATTATTTAAGAAAATTTTTCATATTTTACGAAATAAGTTATAAAAATAAACAAGCAAAGTAAATAAAGTTTGATCTTGAGAATGATATATGTGAAGATATATATGGGGAATGAAGTGAGTATTACTATGGATACGGGTTTTATTTTTAATTTAATTTATTTCAATAAAAATATGAAATTTCAAAATAAGTAAAGAATATTATATAGGAAAAAAAAACTAAAGTATGAGTAAAACAATGAAACTATTAAAATAGGAGTTACATGTTTTTATTCCTAAAATAAACGTTAAAATGCATATGCAATGTCAATCATGTCAATATGTAATACTCCCTCCGTTCCACAAAACCATTCCGGTTTTGACTTTGTGGGAAAATAAGGAAAGTGTAATTTTGGTTGATTTTTCAATTTTACTCCTGATGTCATGGAAAAAAGTAAGATGTGATAGTTTGGTTATTAGTGAAAAAGTATGATGTGATAGGTAGGGTATGAAAAAATAGGGGTAAAAATGGTTTTTTAATAGAAAGTGGATGTGTTTTGTGGAAAGCAAAAAAACAAAAGAGGAAGGGTTTTGTGGAACGGATGGAGTACCAAATAGTATTGTGAAAAATGTTCATATATAGTGTCACATCATCACAGTACAAAGTCGTATTTCTAGAATAAAAATATGAAGTTTTATTTTGTTATTTTTTTCTGTGTTTTACTCTTATTTATGATGATTTCTTTATTGTATACTGTATCCGCTCAGAAATGAATTTCTCAGATATTATTCACATTGCCAAACTTTGTTACTTTTGTTTTCTTTTGTTCGTAGAACTTCTAACGTGGTTGCACGCACTTTAGCTTGGCGGGTGGACACTCAGACTTGTGCCTGGGAATCAGTTCCTCCAAAATTTGTTTCTCCATACCTAAATAATTAATGAAAATTGGTTGTTTAAAAAATAGAGTTTTTATAATATGATCATGTGTTTGGTTGAATGCGAATATTTTCTCAACAATTTTCAATTCTAATTTTCCATTAAAAAAATTCTACTCCTTGCCGCGTCTCCCCCATCTGTCTGCCCCCGTCCACTCACCACTTAATCCCCACCTCAGCACTCTCCACCACTGCCCCATCGTCCCTTGCAACCTTGCACCGTCCAAATAGACTGATGACATGATATAACATTGAAATTCAATGTCAAAATATATTTGTAGAATCTAGAAATAATAACTTCAAAACACCTCTCGAGATTGTTTTTACTATCGTCCGAGATCTTTTGATATTTAAAATCACGGCGATATTATGACTCGAGTTACATACGTTGCTCCTTTGCTAAAACTGATGCTTCTTACCCTTTAATTTTTCCTTAACCCCCCCCACCCCCGCCCCCTGTCTTCCCCTACGCTCCTTCCCAGTCGCCTTAGACCGCTTACTTAGGGGGGTGTATTCAATTAAGATTATGAAAGATTTGAATAGATTGTTTAAAGTCAATGGATTCTGCAAAATCTATGGATTGTTTTAAGTCTATGCAGAATTTGATAGATTTTAATGTATTCTATCAACAGGATTTTATAAGATTCTGTTTGATTGTTTATAATCCATAGATTATTTATACATAAATATGAATTATTTTATAAATTTATACATTGTTGTAACATGAACTATTGTAATTAGCTATTAAAAACTTTGTTTATGAAATCAATAAAAAATTAAAAATAATCTAATAAAATAAAAATAACTTATTTTTTAAAAAAATTATCATTGTCGTAATATATTTATTAGAATAAAATAAGCAATAAATTTGTTTTTACATCTAAAATTAATATTATCTATACGCTATTCTTCTTGTATGTCAAAACTCATCAACAATGAAATTCTAAAGACAACTCAAGAGAAGTCATTATTCAAAATTTTAAAAGATAATTGAAAAATAAAATTAGTTAACAACATAGTCTTCCATTTCAACTTCATTATCACCAAAACTTTCTTCATTCTCCTCATTAGCATCATTTTGTGGTATATCGGCCCACATAGCTTCAGCAATGCCATGTCTCCAAGCGTTAGCTTCTGTTCTTTGTTGTTGAGTTTGAGAAAGTATTTCAGAATTTTCTTCCTCCATGTCAAGATATGATGAAGAAGATGACTCAAGTTCTACTTCAGGAGGAAATTCATCAGAACGACACTCTTTACGAAGAAAGTTATGTAATCCTTTTTCATCTATTTTCTTGATTCCTCTTCAGTTCCTTTTTCATCTATTCCTTCTCTTCCTCCCACTTCCTCTTCCATTTATCTATATGACCAAGCACATATAAATACCTAAAACATTATTTGTAGACATTTCTTCAAATACATAGTGAGCATAATCATATTAACC